CCCCCTGCTACTTCCTGTCTCTCCAACACCCTGCTACTTCCTGTCTCTCCAACACCCTGCTACTTCCTGTCTCTCCAACACCCTGCTACTTCCTGTCTCTCCTACACCCTGCTACTTCCTGTCTCTCCAACACCCTGCTACTTCCTGTCTCTCCAACACCCTGCTACTTCCTGTCTCTCCTACACCCTGCTACTTCCTGTCTCTTTCCTACACCCTGCTACTTCCTGTCTCTCCAACACCCTGCTACTGCCTGTCCCTTCACTACATGCTGCTATTTCCTGTTTCTCGCACTGCCCATCTCTCCTCCCTCCCTTCTTCCTCCAGCTGCACCTCCCCCTGAACTCCCCCCTGCCAGGCAGCGAGCTGACCAAGGAGCCGTTCCGCTGGGACCAACGCCTTTTCGCCCTGGTGCTCCGCCTGTCGGGAGCAGCCACCCCAGATAGCGAGCAGCTGGGCAGTGTACCCACGGACGATTCAGCCATCACGCAGATGTGCGAGGTCACGGGAGGTGCGTGCACAGCCCCTTCCCTGAGCCCACCCCAGCTCACGACCTTTCTCCTCCCCCCTGGGCAGTAACATCAATAGAGAGCTACTTAAATAGCCGTGTACCATTTTCTTGTCAGGCTAAGGTCTTGAAGTAAGCCGCTGTGGTTTTTAGAGATTATTGTAATAGGGATGAATAGAGACAAATAGTACAGGTGGTGTTTTGGACCAAGACGTATTGTGGTAGAAAAATTATAAATCAAGGACTTAGAATAACACCACAGTATAAGATGCCTGGTTTCAGTCCCAGAATAAATTCCCTTGATTTCCCAGTAAACCCTGAAACCCACCAGTACTGAATCATGGTAAAATGTAAAGCTGCAGTGGACGAATATGGAAACTGATAACAACAGAATATGAGCTGACAGCCATATAAATAACTACAGTTGTGAGCTTGTTAGTCACTCTGGACAAAAGACTTTGCTGTGCAGAAAAACAAAACAGATGAATTTCTAAACTGCTGAAATAGGTCAACAGTTTTATAGCGGAGTGTCTATATCAGAGCTAAAAATCAATATTAATATGAAGATTAATATCATCTATATAGATGATCCTCATAGGGATTCGGAACTGACATCTGGAAGGTGCGTGTGTTCACCTCTAAGACTCTATGCGTGGTTCCTTCATTCAGTGACTCTGTGACCCCTTTCAGGACGGTCGTACTGTGTGAAGACCCAGCGGATGCTGAACCAGTGCCTGGAATCCCTGGTCCAGAAGGTTCTCAGTGGCGTTGTCATCAATTTTGAAAAGACGGGTCCAGATCCCCCCATTGTTGGCGAAGGTATGGCCTGCCATAGAGCTATCCGATCCCCCCACCCAGCTTGGATGAATGAAATGCAGTTCCTGGTCCTGGAAGACCTTCCTCCATCTGGCTTCACACAACGCCCCCGTTTATCTGCTACGATGGGCTGCTACGTTGATCGCCGAATGTGAAGCCTGTCGCTTGTTTACAAGGACTCACACTATCTGTTTCACAACATGATCTGTATGTGCAAGAATTTGTCATTGAATTGCATGATTTTTTAATCTCTGAGATTCACGTGGCGGTGGAGTGTACATATAACTAGGATGACGGATCTCTGGATGGTTAGTGACCCATGAGGTGGGGGATGACCTACTCTTTGGCTTCACAGACGGCCCACTGGATCCTACTCGGCCTGCACCCAGCCTAGGACCACAGCCCTGGCACAGCTGCCACAAGCTGATTTATGTGCGGCCCAACCCCAAGACCGGGGTACCTGTGGGCCACTGGCCCATCCCGGAGTCCTTCTGGCCTGACCAGAACTCGCCAGCCCTGGTGAGTCCACAGTTGCTTGCCCGTGTTTCTGGGGGTTAGCGCATTAGCCTGTGTTAGCATGTGGATGGATGCCAGTGAAGCCAGTCTCGCTCTTGGCTCTGGACCAGTGGTTGCCAGCTGTTGGATCCCAGCACCTCCCAGAGCTGGAACAGGAAACCGAAGCTGTTTCCGGTGCTCCGGAGCCTCGACATCCTCAGTCCTCCTTCGGGTGTGAAGTCGAGGTTCTCCTGCTGCTTGGCTTCCTGGAGAGGTGCCCACGCAGACGTCCGTCTCTTGGGACAGCAGCAGGAGGGTCCAGTGCGAAAACTGTGGCACTTGCTTACGTGAATTGCTCTCCCACAGCCCCCACGCACAGCCCACCCTGTGGTGCGCTTCTCCTGTGTGGACTGCGAGCCCATGGTGATCGACAAGCTGCCTTTTGACAAGTATGAGCTGGAGCCCTCACCCCTGACCCAATACATCCTGGAAAGGAAGACCCCACATGTGTGCTGGCAGGTATGAAGATCTCTCCCTCTCCAACACCCAGTGACACTCCCTACCCCAGCTGGGATCAGACTGACGTGTCTCCTCTACGGCCCAGGTGTTTGTGAACAGCAGTGGGAAGCACACGGACCTGGGCCAGCCTTTCGGGTATCTGAAAGCCAGCACGACGCTCACCTGCGTCAACCTCTTTGTCATGCCGTACAACTACCCTGTCCTACTGCCGCTTCTGGGTAAGTACATCGCTTCCTGTTCTTCACCTCATCCTCTAAAGGCACATTGTCTGCCTTTTACCCATTCTTTGGTTCTGTCGTTACTTTTGCTGTGGCCTGATGGTGTTTCTCTCTCCCATCCAACAGACGACCTGTTTAAGGTGCACAAGCTAAAGCCCAACATAAAGTGGCGACAGGCCTTCGAGATATATCTGAAGACCATGCCCCCATACTTCCTCCTGGTAAGGACGAGGAACAGTGAAAATGGCCATACAGGCCCTTAGGCACCGGCTATAGTGACAACATGAACTTTCCAGTTTTTATATAAACACCTTTGCTTGATGGGGTGATGTCATCTCTTGGGTGAATCTCTGGGCATCATACCTAGATTCTTAGAGTTCCAGTTGAGTTGGTGCATGCATGACTCCAATGACCATCTTGTGTTTCTTGCGTTTACATGTTTCCTCTTTCTTCAAACAGCCACTTAAGAAGGCGCTGAGGATGATGGGAGCGCCCAATCTCATCTCTGACAATGTGGACTGTGGCCTCAGCTACAGTGTCATTTCCTACCTGAAGAAGCTCAGCCAGCAGGTGGGTGTCCCAGAACGACGGTGACCCGAACCTCATGACACGAATCTAGTGTTCGCTCTGTCGATTGGGTCGTTGAAGGTTCTCCTCAGATGAAATAGCGAAAGCAATTAAGGTTCCATGGATTATAAAAAGTGATTGACCAATAAAACTCCAGTGTTGTACCTGTTCATCTACAGGCTAAAATCGAGTCAGACCGCCTGATTGTGTCGGTGGGAAAGAGGCCCCCCCAGGAGACAGGAATCAAGGTGCGGAACCACTCGAGTGCACTGTCCCTGGCCCAGAGGTGTGACTTCCAGCAGCTGCTGCAGGCTGTCAGCGGGGAGGCTCCACTGCGCTTGGTTGACTTCAACCTCAAGGAGTTTGCAGGCTTCCAGGTGGCCCTGCTCAACAAGGTACCAGACTCACCTCAGAACCCCAGCCCAGCTTCAGAGCAGAATCCTCAGCAAATCCTAAAATATGTCCCAGATCAGGCCTTAGAACAGATAACAAAACCATGTCTTCTGGATAAATTAAGTTTCTATCTATTCATTAAAATACTCTCACAAGTGGAAAGTTCAGGTCCAAAAAGTACAAATCCAGACCAAGATTTTGTTTCAACCAACCAGTTGAGTACTCTGTGAATGTGACTCTTTATACTCAAATGGTTGGTTGAAACAAAATCTTGGTCTGGATTTGTACTTTCTTAACCTGAACTTTCCACCTTTCAAATGCTCTTTACATTCTTCTATTTTCTAGATAATGGTTAGTATCTTCAAAAGAGGAGAGATGAGGAATTAAGGCAAACAAATCTGGAAGTGTCACTGCTGGACCAATTAAAAACAAATGTGTATTTCTCCTTCCCAGGACCTGAAACCCCAGGCATTCCGGAACGCCTATGACATTCCCCGGCGGAACCTTCTGGACCAGCTGACCCGCATGCGCTCCAACCTGCTACGTCAAACACAGAAGCTCCTCCGGGGGCAGGATGAAGGTATAGGATGCTGGAGCCCAGAGGTCTTGCACTCAAATCCTTAAAGGAGGAATTTGCTTGCTTTGCATTTTTGAGTTTTACTTGTAAAACATGTTTGGTTAGTTAGTGCATGGGAGCTCATCTGACTAAATTAAGTCAATACCTGTAGCCAATACATTGAAAACAACAGATATTTCATCACAAAGACATTGTTCAGAGCCTGAGCTATTAGTTTCCAAAGTTGAAAACAAGTTTGCTGTGGGTTAGTCGTTGCTGGTTTTTGACCTTGCGGTCTCTCTACTGGCTGTCAGATTACATGCATAGCATCCCCGTGGCCCAAATGGGCAACTATCAGGAGTACCTGAAAATGATGCCGGCCCCCCTGCGGGAAATCGACCCTGACCAGCCCAAACGCCTGCACACGTTTGGGAACCCCTTCAAGCAAGACAAGAAGGTACAGTCTGGCTCAGCGTGCTGAGCGACGCCTATAGGTGGACAAATGCATCATCAATAAATCTAACAGCTAGCATAGCAAACTATAGCTAGCTCCACGTTATACCTTAGCATGATTTCTGTATATAAAAATATGCCACGATCGGTGGGCGGGGCTGAGCTGGCCAGGTTGTCTCCATTAGCTCCAGCATAGAACGTCCTGGTTTCAAACAGTGAATGAAGAGTCACTTCTTGAGTCAGTGCCAGACCTCCTGGATTGCGCCTGGTGACTCATGGTGTGAAATGGAAAACGCCTTTATACTCTTGCAGGAGTGCTGTGGGCCGGGTGAGGCAGAACTGTGGAATGTTAATGTAGAAGCGGTCACAGATGCTTCGAGTGAATCAATCTAACAGAATGTCAACAAATGACCGACCAATCAACGGAGACAAAAGCAAAGACGGCTATACCTCGGAGTGTCTCCTCTTCTCTGAACAGTGCCAGACCCTGATCCTAAACCACCCCCCTCTCTGTTTCTTTGCCTTCTCCTCGGGTTCAGGGGATGATGATTGACGAGGCGGACGAGTTTGTGGCGGGCCCTCAGAACAAGAAGAGGGGGAACACCGGGGACCCAAACTTGGGGGGCATGCCGAAGAGGAGGCGGAGCATGTCGCCGCTGTTGAGGCGGCCGCAGACTCCACCCGCCGTCCCCAACCACGTCTTGGGGAAAGGGCCCGCGGGAAAAGGTGTCCCGGGCCAGACTGGCCTCATCAAACCCATCTCTTCACCCAAAGGTAGGGATTTGGAGCTGGGGGTGTGTCCATATGGTGCGCTTCGTGGGGACCGTGACATACGTTTGTGCTGTGTCGCGATCATGTGATTTGGGTTCGTGTGGTACATTGTGTTCAATGGGGCCTGCGATTTGCAGTTAATGTGGCTCCTTTTAGACCTCGGGGGGGGTCTCATTTTAATAGACCAATGACAGTCAGGGTGCTGAGACAATGAATAGGAATGAATAATTTAAGTAATTAGTTTAAAAAGTCTGTGAGCTATTGATTAGCCAATGTGTGCTTGTGGTCTAGTCAAAAAATACATGGGATTGTTGGACGGTTGCTGCAAATACTGGGGAGACTTGAGAGGTTTTGAAATGGCTGAACATAATGGCTTTGACAGACATTATATCATAGTGTTACACCAATAAGAAGATCATTTAAAGATAATTTCTTAGACTGCCTAAGACAATTGCACACTACTGTACATATGAGAGAGACATTGTAACATTTTTTGTGTCTTGTTTGTCGCTGTAATGATTTTCTGATGTATGTCTCTCCCTGCAGGAGTGGAGGGGAACAGCATTCCAGGTGCAGAGAGCAATGGGGAGGAGGCACAAGGTGTGGATTTGGGTGATGGGTGGTCCGAGGGCCTGGACGGCCTGGGAGGGGCCACACTGGAGGAGCGGGTGGGATCAGGTGCAAGTGAGATGGGGGACCCGGCGGGGCTTGAGGACGGCTTGGACGAGAGCCCCCCCTCTGATCATGTGGAGAACTGCGAGGACCTGACTCTCCCCAACCAACTGGGGGTACTGGGGGAAGGGGACACGGCTGTGCCGAGGGCAGTATTCATACTACCCCTAGAGGGCAGCAATGCTGAGCTCCGCACACGGGTCATTAAGGAGGTCCGGAAGCCAGGCCGCAGTAAGTCCATGGAGAAATGTTGGCTCCTGTCTGGTCAGTTGTCTGGTCAACCCACCAATCACGGTGAATTATTTTCCCCCCAGATTATGAGTCGATTTTCCGGCTTCTGGAGGAAGTGAAAGGGCCCGTAGAGGTCCGGGAGTATTTCATCCGTCACGCCATCAACGAGGCTGCCAGGTGAAGCCCTTGATCTCTCCCCCGTTCCTGTTTCCAGGCTGGTTAGATACGGCAAAGCGATAGAATATCCGAGAGATAATCATCGTGGGGAAAACCCCCATGTCTCATGTTTGTCCCTCCACCCCACCCAGGTTTAAAAAGCGGGTCTTGATCCAGCAGTTGGAGACAGCCCTAGAGGTGATGGAGCAACGCCAGCCACTATCTGCCCTGCCTGCTCGCGTCAACAACGTCCACGGCAGATAGTCAGCGAGGGCCCGCAGGGAGCGAGACATGGAGGACACGTGGCAGAAAAACTAATGGAGTAGCACATGCGTGGGGGGAGGGTGGTGCAGACCAGCCGAGCGGGTGTGGAACTAAGAGGATGACCCACCCCAGCGGTGCACTCCCCCCCACCACCAGAGAGGGCGCTTCAGTCCAGCACAGTGAAAAGGAAAAAAATGGAAGGGGAAACGAAAGCACATCTTTGGGCCCACCTCCTTCAGGCAGTGGTCACCCCTCAGGCTTACCACTTGGGTTGGGGTTGAAGGCCCGAGCATCTGGCTTAGGAACCTCCAGGCACACGTATCCGGAAGCTGTGGGTCTACCGCATAGGGCAAGGCAAGTCACATGACCAGCTCATAACCTGCTCCCAGGGAGTCTCTGGGTATTTATTTTCCTCATTCAAATGCGTCTTAGGGCGGTAGATGTGTCACGCTGCTCAGTGAACATGGGCAACCCATCAGACTGTTCCCAAAGGAACAGGAAACACCCTCTGCTCTTCAGTCGCCCCCTATAGGCCATAGTTAAGAAGCTCATGGCTGACTCATGGGGGCGCTGTCCAGGAGGGCAGGCACAGACATGTGGGTCTAGTCCCAGTGTTCACATGAGCAAGCATATCTACCTCAGCTCTTCCATGTGACCTTTTTTTTCTTCCTGACCGCAGTACATTTGTAACCATGTCACTTTAAAACACCTTTTTAATGACTGTCCAGGCAGACATACCAACATTTTTAGAAGCAATATATGCCTGTTTTTCCCCCATCTGCCAGCCACGTGGGAGGTGTGTCGCTGATTCAGCATAAATTTCAGTCCCCCCCCTCCCTCCACCCAAGGCCACCCTCATCGTCACCATGTCAGACCACTGTACCCAGAATGCCTTGCCCCAACCCCAGCTACCGGCTCACCTTCAGGATGACTCCAAGCGTGCCGAGGAAGCCCCTGCCGCTTTTCCTGTTCCACTTCATTTTTTTTTTTTTTAAAGAAAGATGTATACTACTTTTTAATGTTCATACATGAAAAAGAGATTATTTTTGGACAGTATTCTTACCAGAGCATAAAATGAAAATATTTTAAAAGAACATTTTGTAAACTATATATTAAATGGAACCTTTTAAGATTTTTTTAAAGAATGAAAAATAAACTCCTGAAAAGGAATGAGGTTTGCTCGTAATTTGACAGAACAACCACCTGCTTTAAATGCAATTAATCATGAAATGGGTCAGACATAAATGTAACAGAATAGTGAAAAGCAGGCAAGATCTTTACCCACTTCAAATGCCTGATCTTAATATTTCCACTGGCCATTGTGTTGTCATTTATCACAAATGTAAATATTGTAGATCAAGAAATGCTAATAGTTATACTAATAACTTTTGGCACAGGTGGAAGGTGTTTGCATTATACACAATAATATCTTTAATAGTTTAATCACAATTTACCTGCTATTTCATAACTACAGAGCACATGTAACCTACTGAATGGATTACTCCCATCTTCCAGATCATTGAAGGGAAGTTTCAGGAGTGGTAGCATCCTAAAACATGGTTTGCAGTTGAACAAATTAGCATTTCCATAAAAGTTAATCCAGTCCATGGAATTTAAATTATGGGGAAAAAAAAAACTTTGTATAAAATGAAAATTTCAATACAAAATCTCACATTCTAAGTTCAAGGAACTGGGATTTTCTTGATTAGTTACACTGCAACCCTGCCAACTCACCTAAAACAATGGTAAACTATTACACAGCATGTTTACAACAGAAAATCTGCAAGGATTGCAAAGTGCAAGGAAATATAACCGACTATGGAAATTCATTTTTGTTTTTAATCGAAAACCAGAACGCACAAGGTAGACATGCATGACAGCGAGAAGCGCTGCCTGAACACAATATAAGGAGTGTTTTGGATGTTGGAAATGTCCAGAGTAATCACTTTCACTGTGACCGTTTATGCAGGTGTCTGAAATGGGAGCGAACCACGGAGTCCTTTAGGATTTTATGGCCATATCCAAACATTTATTTACTTGCAGGATAACTTGGCACAGTCCTTGGGGTTAAACATTTGCATCTGTTGGTCACGGAACGTGCTTCAAGAATTACTGGAGTATGAGGACGAGGGGAAAAAATAATTAAAATCAGCAGGCTGTTCAGACCCTGACCTCCCATACCACTCCGGCCCACCAAACAAGGAGCCAGTCTGTTTACATGGGAAAAAGGAATAGAAAAAGGGTAAAGGAGGAGGCCAGCATCAGTGGAACTGCAGCTTGCGTTGTCGGACAGGGTCGGACGGCAGGGCCTGAGGGGTCAGCCTAGGGTCCAGCTCCCGTGACTGGAAGAGCACTCTGCCCCGGTGGTTGAACATGTAGAAAGATGGATGGTTTCGCAACGTGTCGAAGGATCTGTTTAAAAAAAAAAAGAAAAAAAAGTGTGGTTTACAAGACAGGACAAGACAGGTTTGCGAAACATTCACAGAGGTGGAAATGCCGACACATGCTGACAGATGTGACCTGTTCATATGGACTAAAAGCCAGCATTACCACACCAGGAAAGGGATGTGACGGAAACTGGGAAGTGATCAAATGACACAAAGTACATGCTTTGCCAGATGCGACAGGGACAGGATCGTACTTGTTCTGCAGCTCTGAAGAGGCATCCATGTCCTTAAAGTCTCCGGCAATGTGGACTATGCCATAACAGCTTATTACAAATGCTAATAAAGTCTGTAGAACAATCTAGAAAGAAGATGCAAAACACACTAGTTGTAATCAAATGGGTGACAAATACTGTGAACCAAGCTTGACATCAAAGTAATTTCTTAAATTGTATTTAGTCTTCAGAAATTAAGAAAGCGACCAAATACTTTGAGGCTGTCTGGAAAACATTAATATACATTTAATATTTCACAGTGTATAGGGATAAAACAGAAAACTCACATCTATTGGTAAAGTTTCATTCTCTTTCTCTGTGAGTCTCATATAAGATCGATCTAAAGGAAAGGGGGGAAAAAAGCAAGTTTTAATTGACTGTGCAGTACACTGAATATCAACGCTATCAAGAAAAAGTAGATTTAGGCTGCCACAGGAAAAAGGATTCTGATGATGCGGCCATTAATCCTGTTAGTGCTGGGCTGACTGCTCCATGAATGCCAAGTCATTGTGGGTAATTTGTCCAGGAAACTCTAATCTTACTGCCCATACAGTGTGTGGTTGAAAAGCAGGGTTGTTGAACTTTCCCTGATTTTACGGCATAATATTTTAACAAATACATATGCCTCATTTTCTCACTCTTTTTTCTATATTATTTGATACAATTTCAAAAAACAGAGCTTGTATATACATGTATCAGACAAAAAGGAAAATGACATTTATCCTCCGAACGTCAGAGGTCTGCCTATGAGACCTAGAAAAAACGTACGCCGAAGATCCTAATTGGTTAAAATGGCCCACATCTGAAGCAGGCCCTCTGATCCATTACTTCGCTATACAAGTCACCCAATAACACAACTAAGGCAAATCATGCATAAAATACACACGGAAACAGACTTCATATTCATTCTACTATAGATACACCTCCTAAGATTAGAATCAGCGGCAGGAAATAGTCATTTAAAGCATGCATCTTGTTCAAATCAATCTTTATAATATATATTCTACTAAAATTAATCTGAGATAACGTTTAATTGTTGTCTGCATATAAATGTATATTAATTGGGTCTAAATATATAGTTTTCTAATTACAGGGGTAAAATCTATTATACATCAGTGAGCAAGCTATTGTTATACGGTTTACACAATGTAACAGAAAACGGAGTTTTCTCACCGGCAAAATGGGGATATCTTAAATAAACTACAACCTCAAATTAACGTAGCAGCCGCTAAACAATAATGTTGATTAGTACTGTATAGATACGCTACCCAGCTTCACCTTAGACTGTGCACGTTAACAAAACAGTGTTATTTTAAATACCTTTTTGCATATATTTTTCACACGTTTATTAGTATAACTAGCTGCGGTGACCTGGATGACTAGCTTTTTACCCAGCATTTACCGATAGGATGTATACAAAGCAGTGTGTTATTTTATTTCCCAGATTACATTATACTCACGCTGTGCTGCTGAGAAAGCTGCATGAGCTAAAGCTACCAGCCCGAAACCAACGATCCCCTTCCACACTGTAGAAGCCATCTTCAAACAGGCAGGCGGAAAAGACAGAACGGCGCGGAAAGGTGACGTCATCAACCGGCTCGGCTACTTAACCCCTTTCTTACCACTTTGGAAAAGAGTCTAGCATGTAAAATTATTTTTGCTTATTACTGATTTTATATTATACATTTGATTAAGAGATATTTACTTAGAGAATACATGCGGACATGCAACAAAGACAGAGTCATATTGACTAATGCTGATGATAGCGTATCTTCTGTATTTTTATTTCGTGTAGGTATAATGGTCTGCGGGTGAAATGTAATAACATGTTTATGAAATTTTATCATCTGATCATGAAAGTTTTTGTCATTTAGTCGGGACGGCTTGCAGAACTCTTGTAGACGCTGATGTGCTACTCATCCCCAGTCAGCCACCTGTCACGTGATGCCGCCAGTGCCTTGGGGGGAGGGGAGAGCAGTACTGGGGGGGGGGGCGGACACGGTACCGATACGGCTCAGCCTGCGGAGGCGACGTGTCTAAATACGCGCGGTCCGTCAAAAACACAGGGAGTCGCGCCGTGTGGACTGAACGCCGAGGGTGTCCAAGATGACACCCGTCCGTATTTTATTCTGCCTGGCATTGTTTATATGGCGCGGCAGTGCCGACGATACCGGTATGGAAAATATTGTAACAGAGAAGAATGCTGAGGAAAGCCACCGGCGGGACAGTGCCGACCTGCTCATATTCATCTTGCTCCTTACCCTAACTATTTTAACAATATGGCTCTTCAAACACCGCAGATTCAGGTTTTTACATGAAACCGGATTAGCTATGATATATGGTGAGGATCCTACTTTTCAATATTGAAGATGTGCGATGATGTAATTACTATGTCCCTTGCTATCATTACTGTGGTCAGGGTATTAATGACGAGTTCATCATCAACGATCGCATGTTGTCTAGCAACCATATTTTGAAAAGTTATTGCAAATATGCTATCGCACTGCACAAGCAAAATTCTATGAATTGACAGCAATAATTAAAGTGACAGGAAACTTGTATTCTTTAATGTTGTTAATGCCGTTCATTTAAAATGCATCGTGGGCTTTCACCCCATAACGTGTAATTTGTCCCCGTGACACAGGTGGCAACGACGGTGCAGTCAATGCCATTTGTTGGTTGGACAGTGTATTCTGGCAAATGTTTTCTAGCAAATTCCATATACAGGAGGATGAAGACATGTCAGAATCAAGCCGGGTAGTTTGTTATTTCAGGCTTATATATTGTGACCGATTACCTGGCGTTTCCAAGCACCGATTGCGGGATGAGCCAGCTATATAATTTGTTAAGTGAGAGATTCAATTATTTAGGCGTCGTCGGATGAGTTTCTTGTCGGAACTGTAGATCTGCTTAGACAGCACCGATCCACCGTACTGCCTGACAGTTTGTATAGTGCACGCAGCGGCAACTAACGCCGACGTCCTTGCAATGTTGGAAACTTATCTTTAAGGATACCGGTATGGTAGCACGTTTGATCCAGGCCATTGTTTCTAGTTTGATTGTCAAACACCGGCTGCTGAGTCTCAGAAATGAAACAGAGATATAGGGGAGTTTCCTTACAGGCAGGTGAAGGGAAGTTTGACAAACAGACTGAACCAGTTTTTGGTTCTGCATTCCAGCGATAGGGGAATAATATGAAGCTCTTAGATCTGAATACCAGCAGAGAAGATGACCATGAAGTCCTGTTTGAGGTGGAAGCGTGATGCTAACCTGTTTAACTATAGGGGTATTAATGACGTGGCCATCTGTCCAGGAAGATTCTGATAACTGTTTTCCCCATAAATCCGACGAATTAGTTTCAGTCCACGAACAGCAGCTTTCAACGATCAGTTACCTACCAAACCACAAACAGTCCTTTGCTAGCCTGGTGGACGATTTTATGTACAGTACTGGGGGGCAAATGAAATAATCAAATACGTACCATAACTTAATGAAAAGAACAGTGTTTAAAACACCAACGCAGCACATACTTGTGATAAACGTAGTGTTGTAAACGGTATTGATGTATATTGAACAATGAATGAGCTATTATCCCAGCTAACAGGGAATGTTCGCAGAACTTAAGCTAACGTTAAGTGAAGATCTTCTGGTACCACTTTACAATAAGGCTCCCTTTTGCCACTTGTAAATGGTAATAACTCATTAATAAAAAGAAAACTGTTATAACTTGATTAAAATTGTCTATTAATAATTTACAAAGTGGTACAACCTAATTAATAACCAGATTATACAGATTATAAACCATTCATAAACGCTTTATATGGGTAGCCTTATTGTAAAGTGGCTTCTCAATGATGACAAAGAACATTCTTACTGTAACGCTGATAGAACGTTATTTCCACGTTTTATGTTTTTAATAAAGGTTCTTTCAAGGTTATCACGATAACAGTATTATCTGAACACACTTTTTGCGTTATTAATATTGAATTTTTTTTGTTTTATAATAAAAACGTTATTTTATTAGAAAAATAACTTGTGTGCTCCTTGTGTATATTACTAAGTCGCTGTTATAGCCTCGAATCCACGATTTCAGAAATATCAGGCCTCAGTGCTACCTGCTTCTCTACCACGGTCTTCGGTTGTTTGTTCTTTATTATTCTTAGTTGTAGTAGTAATGGGAAAACGTTCTGGGAACGTTAAGAATGCTAGATACTTTGAAAGTTTCCATACGTTAATCGTAACGTTCGGTGAACGTTCCTAAAATGAAAAATTATTAGCTGATATGGAGAAGATAAGTTGATTTTGAACAAAAACTGAATTTAAATTTTAATAATGTAAACGTGTATAGGTAGCAGAAAGGCTTCTTATGTTTGTTAAACTCATGCATTATGATATTTTAGAACTCTTCATCCTCACAGGATGCTTAGTATTGTCACACAACTCACCCGTGTTAAATGCTTTTCATAGTTTGTGTTAGTAGTCTTTAGACATTATGAATGGGCTACATGCCAGTCATACGTTTTGTGAGGTATTTTGAATGTGACTCTGCCTCTACCCCGCAGGGCTGCTGGTGGGTGTGATCCTTCGGTATGCAATCCACGTGCCTCGTGACATCAACAACGTGACCCTGAGTTGCCAGGTGAACGCCAGCCCGGCCACGCTACTCGTGAACGTGAGTGGACGTTTCTACGAGTACGCGCTGAAGGGTGAGATCAGCGCCAGCGAGGTGCAGGAGGTGCGGGACAACGAGATGCTCAGGAAGGTGCGTGTTCCCTCCCCCAGCACCGGCGGGGGGACTCAAAAGCTTCCATGTCGTTCAGCTCATGCAGCAGATCATTGAAATAATCTGGAGGGAAAATCTGTTCAGTTTAATAGCCCCGTAACTCTACAGCCCCGTAACTCTACAGCCCTGTGCAGCCACGTCTTATTGCTGCTTTGCTGAGCACTAACATGCTGTACCTGCTGTTTTTTAGGTGACCTTTGATCCAGAGATATTCTTTAACATTCTCCTGCCTCCCATCATCTTTCACGCTGGTTACAGCCTGAAGAGGGTAATTGACTCATAAAATACCGTAAATTTCAGTTTAGTGTGTTGCCTGTGCTTGCTGACGATGCATATGCACCAGCAAAATCGCCGCATCCTGTGATCCTTTGCTGGCTAGAGAATCGGGGAGTTTCACGCATTCGTTTACCTCCCTTGACCTTACAGAGACACTTCTTCAGGAACATCGGCTCCATCCTGGCCTTCGCCTTTGTGGGGACACTCATCTCGTGTTTCGTCATTGGGTGGGTGTCCTTGCCTGGCAGCTTCTGTACGGCAGACATGGTGTCTGAGGCAGCGTAGGGTCATGATGCCAGGGTCACATGGGTAAAATGGTGACATCACTATGTGATTCTCCCTCAGGCTGCTGATGTATGGCTTTGTGACGCTGATTGCACGTGTGGGTCAGTTGGGTGGGGACTTCTACTTCACCGATTGCTTATTCTTCGGCGCCATCGTCTCTGCCACGGATCCAGGTACCCACAACACCCCCCCCCCCACACACACACACATACACACATGAACTTTTCTAGAGGGAAATCTTTGCTGTTAAATTTGCTGTTGTATTTAATCAAGGTTGCACTTTGAAATCCCAGAAATGAAATTGCTTTGAGTTCCTGAACAGAAGTGTTTTCCTTGGGTGTTTCTCAATACCAAGAACACAAAGACCGTACTTGTGGTCTTGGCAAGACCGGTCTTGTGAAATTGCCTCCCAAGAACGAACTTGGGGCACAATGAATCATGGGATTGGCCTCATTTGGCAAGGATGCAACTGATGTATCCTTGGTGTTTGGGTAAGAACGACATCCAGGGATTTTTACTGTCCTCTGCTTCTGTTCTTGAGTATTGGAACTCGTCTTTGGTAATAGAAGATGACATAAAATGGGTACATGTACGGTCAAGAATGCATATTGAGAAACACCCCTTGATACGTACTTTCAGTAAATATTGAGGTGCATTATGGGAGCTCAGGTTACAGATATCTGCATATGTCTAAGGGCTGGTAGTACTGGATGGGTCATTTCCGCAAACTCATTAACACGCCACATCAATTTTCTTTTATTTTATAAATTAGTTTAGAGACAGACTCAAATTATACAACCTATTTGTATAAACTGTCGATTTTGCCCCCAGGGGCAGTTAATCAGTTTTGATGTATTACCATTTATTTCTGTAATAAACAAAAGTATTTTATCAAATCCAGGGCAAGAGTTATGGAGATGAGAAAGAAAATGACAAAACTAATTAAAAAAATTGAGCAATCATGCAAAATGATTGTTTATTGTCAGCAAGATGCAATAAAGCTGAAAGGTATAAAAACATATTATCTAGGTTTGAGCTATTTGTTACATTAATGAGACTTTTTGTTACTTATTTGGGGAAAGTGTTTAAAAAAATCATTAAATCTGAGCAACAAATGACATAATTTATGAGTGTCCTGGATGGAAATGTACTGGCAGTGTTGTTGTGCCAATGATAAATGGTGAACATCATCCCTTCTCCTTTCAGTGACAGTGCTGGCCATTTTCACGGAGCTGCAGGTGGATTCAGACCTTTATGCCATGCTGTTCGGAGAGAGTGTACTCAATGACGCAGTTGCAGTCGTGCTGTCCTCGTGAGTGGGCCCTCTGTGTGTGTGTGTGTGTGTGTGTGTGTGTGTAGAGCTTGTTCAGGGATGTTCTCAAGGAAACCAGTGGGATTTACACATATCTCACAAACGCTCAGTGCCTCACACCTAATTATAATAGTAATAGATCATTTATTGATCCCTGTGGGGAAATTCTCTTTATGCCTCCCCCAGCTTGTTCTCTGTAGGTGAGAGCAATCTGGCCATGAAGGGCAGCCACCCATACTAGCACCCAGGGAGCTGGGGGGGGTTAAGGGCCTTACTCAAGGACCCACAGACGTGCTGAAACCAGCAACCTTCTGATCACAGGCATAGAGATTTAACCTACTGAGCCACATACTGCCCCCAGAAATCATTTTTAAAAATCACGATAAAAAACCTCCCATGAATCATGTGTGATCTGAGACTTTCACACATAATTACAGCATTTAGAAATTCTCCTATCCACAGCAACATACAATTGACAGCAGTGTCAGACAGTTCTTGGAGCAATTAGGGATTAAAGGCTGTTCTCAAGGACTTAATGGTGAAATTGCTCTTCTAATTCTGGGAATTGAACCAGCAACCTTCCAATCACAGACCACATGTTCTAAACTGATGAGCCACTCACCACCTCCGTTACTAACCCCCCTTTGTTGGTTATTAGTATCCTGCCCTGTCATACCAAACAGGTGGAACAGGATTGGAGGTGTGGCTTTCTTAAAGAGGCCATGGTATGTGTGCCTCGTCTTACACTGAGAGGCGCTTGCCGGAGTCAGGTGGCATCCTGCAAAACACTCAACTTCTGACAGGTGGCGCCGTGTCGGTCTGCAGTGACCATGCCCCCGAGCTTAGTGTCCACCTGTGAGATGTCACAGAAACGGTGTATAAAGCCCCAAGAGCGCATTATATCCGTCAGTGGAACAGTGGAACACAGTTCAGAAGGTGGATGTAAATCTAGGTGCTGGTTTTACAAGTCTGATGGTGCAGACGTTCTGGTTTACAGGCATAGATGTCTGGCTGCGCATCTGCTTTGGCCCTTGGAAGAGCAAAGGGGACAGAAGGGGTTCTACATGTGCTAGTGGGGCTCTCCTTGTTCCACGTCTTCTCCCGTCAATGTGCACTGAAATCACTCAGAAATGCTTTCAGATTGCAGTCTGGCCCCATAGGAAATGCATTTGCATCAAGGAGATTGATTTATAACTAGAAAGCTGACAGATTAAACCATCTGAGTGGAATGCTTGCTCAGAGCAGGTGAAGGTACTTTTTAAACTGACTTTATGACTATCCTCCTACAACACTGAAACCCAGGGTAGCTGTCTTTGAATTCAATCAAGTCATTAAAAAAAGGCTAAAGTGTGAAAATGATTTGTTTGAAGGGTCCCCACAATAACTTGTACCAGCCTACAAACACACCAGGAAAATGCCTTTTATGCCAGATGGCCTGTTCAGGCCTGCCTGTGAGTGTTTATGTTCGTTTGTGTCTGTATGTGTGTTTCTGTTTGCTTGTGCCTGTGTAGGTGATTCTTTATGTATTTGTTTCTGTTTGTCTGTGTCTTGTGTGTGTGTGTGTGTGTGTTTGGGTTTGTATTTACAGTACCAAAAACCTGTTAACTTTGTAGCTTATGTAGATTTTTATCAAATTGAGGTTTCTATTGTGGGGACCTGAAAAACCTGTGAATGCAATCAAAAAACTAAAACAGCCAAAAGTCTTGTATTTTGTTTGGTTATTTATGGTTAAAGTTAGGGCTGGGGATTAGGATTAGAGTTATGCCCATAGAAATGAATGGAGGGTCGCCACAATGACAGGAATATATGAACTGTGTGTGATTCATTTGCTCATTTGTGCCTGTGTGTTTTTTTTTGTTTGTGTCTGTGTTTGTATTTTTCTGTTTGTCTGTTTGTTTGTGTCTGTCTGTATTTATGTTCATTTGTGTTTGCATCTGTGTATCCGTGTGTGTATTTATGTTCATTTGTGTTTGCATCTGTGTATCCGTGTGTGTATTTATGTTCATTTGTGTTTGCATCTGTGTATCCGTGTGTGTATTTATGTTCATTTGTGTTTGCATCTGTGTATCCGTGTGTGTATTTATGTTCATTTGTGTTTGTGTCTGTCTGTCCATGTGTGTATTTATGCTCATTTGTGCTTGTGTGTTCCTCTTCATTTATGCCTGTGCCTGTTTATGACTAGTATCATTCTGACGTCCGCCACAGGTCCATCGTCGCCTACCAGCCGGCTGCGGCGAGCAGCCACTCCTACGACGGCATGGCGGTGCTGAAATCCTTCGGCGTGTTCCTGGGGGTGTTCAGCGGCTCCTTCGCGCTGGGCGTGTCCACCGGCATCTTGACCGCCTTCATATCCTCCCTTGCAGCCGCCACAGCAGGGCTGAATGAACCACCTGGTCCCGCATCTCCCCGCCCAGCTCTTTCTGCTCTGTGTTGGTGTTCAATCATCCACAGCTTCTCTAGATATTAAAATTCTTATTCAATAATAATATCAGGGGTATTTTGGGGGGGGGGGGGGAGATTCTTATGTCCCTTACGGGAGATGATGTGATGCTGTGATCTGCCTGAAGGGGGCGCTGTGCAGTGCCCTTACGGATTCTCCTTGACTTGCCTCCTCACGTCACTAAGTTCACCAAACTGCGGGACTTCCAGCTCCTGGAGACGGCGCTCTTCTTCCTCATGTCTTGGAGCACCTTCCTGCTGGCTGAGGCCTGTGGGTTCACAGGTAACTGCTGGTGCCGGTGGGTGGTCCTTCAGATGCCAGAAATGGGTCTCATTGGGCTTAAAGGACCCCCTGGCCCCATTAGTTCATGGATAAGTGCCGGTTCTTGATCAGTAGTTCTCATTTGGTTCAGAGGTGCCTACTAGTCACTGATTCTCATTGGCTAATAAATAACTGCTGCTCCCACTGGCTCACAGTGACTATGGAGCATAGAAAATGCTGCATTCATTTATCGAACCCCCCCCTTTCCAGTCGTCTTAGCCGGGTTGCCCCCTGCACCTCACTGACTGTGTGCTGTGCTGGCTTGTGCTTGCAGGGGTTGTGGCAGTTCTGTTTGGTGGGATAACTCAGGCTCACTACACCTATAACAACCTGTCTCCAGAGTCCAAAACCCGGACCAAACAGGCGAGTTCCCTTCTGCTGGTGTCCTCAGTCCAGCACAGCCGTCTCGCGCACACACACACACACACACACACACACACAAGTTTAGCTCAGCTGAGCAACTGCTAAATCATAATACAATTATTAATATTAGTAACATGAATAACAATATTAATGATGTCATCCTAATTCCTGCTGCTTATCCAGCACAGTACTATAGGGGGCGCTCTGCAGCCTATTTCAGGAAACACAGGCCATGCAAATAATAATAATAATGCTGCTAGCATTGCTGCTGCTAATGCTACTAATGCTACTAATGCTACTAATGCTGCTAATGCTACTAATGCTGCTAATGCTACTAATGCTGCTAATGCTACTAATGCTACTAATGCTACTACTAACACTATAAATGAACAGGTAGCACTGTTGCCTCCCACCTCCAGGGTGTGAGGGTTTCATTTCAGCTCCGATGTGATGAACTGGCATCTCCACATGGTCCCCAGTGTGTCGGTAGGTGTGTATGTGTGGCCTGTGATGGACCGGCCCAGTTCCAGGGGCTTCCTGGATTTGTGTGCTGGCTGCCTGGGATATTCTCCTGGCACCAGGTGACCCTGTACTGAATAAGCTGTTGGAAGATGGATGGCAGAACAATATTGCAGCTTTCTCACAAGACCCCCGAGTGTCCCTTTAATTGCCTTTGTTAAATGCCTTTATTCTTGTCATTGTCTTCCCCTATTGGCTGCTGTGTGAAGTTCTGATCTCTGCACTGTTCCTTGGGCCGTGGTCCATTTACTAAACACCTTCCTGTGCCTTTTCCACTCCAGTTATTTGAGCTGCTGAACTTCCTAGCGGAGAATTTCATCTTCTCCTACATGGGCTTGACGCTGTTCACCTTCCAGAACCACATGTTCAACCCTTTGTTCATCATTGGGGCATTTGTATCCTTGACTTTTGTGTGTGTGTGTGTGTGTGTGTGTGTGTGCCCGTGCCCGTAAGCGTATCACGCTGTTGCTCAGGAGTGATTTCACCAATAATGAGCTCCCTAACGAGGCTTTCATTACAGTAGCTCAGCTCATAGTAAGAATGTATCTATTTACCTACCAAGGTGTCACATGGGTGTTTGAAACAAGAGAGGGTTTTCAGCCTAGTGGAACCTGGACCACCTCCATCCTTCTGGGCTACTGAGGTATCCATCCTTGACCATGCTACTCAGCTGGCCGTGTTCTTGGGCAGGGCTGCCAACATATACCCACTGTCATTCCTGCTCAATCTGGGACGCCGAAACCGCATCAGGAACAACTTCCAGCACATGATGATGTTTGCAGGTGCTCGCGATGATGACGATGTCTTTCAGTCATGAGCCAAGCTCCACAGCAGCCTGTAGTGGCCTTTGACAGGAACATGATCCAGCTCGGAAAATGGAGCCACGTCCGGCCAAACCAGTAACTGTATTTTTCATGTTCCTGTCGGTCATGAGTCAGCCTTTTGTTGAACAGCTACACCGTCAGTTGTCTTGGCATTTTTAATTAAGAAAAGAAAAAAAACTGTACTTCGCCAACGTCTCCTCCCATCGCCACGGCAGGGTTGGGGGTTCGAATGCTATTTCTGATATTCTCCTTCGTTGCTTGTTCAGTTGTTTCCCAGAGTTCAACAGCATGGATATACGTTTGGCTCTTGTCTCTAGGTGCTCTGCAGTGGACTGCTGTCCCATCTGGGGTTTTCCTATACCTTGTGCTCTATGTTTCCTAGGATAGAGTCCAGACTCACCATCGCCCCCTGCTGGATAAGTGGTTGATAAATGCATGGATGACAAGCAGTGTGTATTTCGTCCTTCCCAGGCCTACGGGGGGCCATGACCTTCGCCCTGTCCATCCGGGACACGGCCAACTACGCCCGGCAGATGATGTTCTCCACCACGCTGCTCATCGTCTTCTTCACCGTCTGGGTGTGTGGTGGGGGCACCACACCCATGCTGTCAGTGCTGCACATCCGGTGAGTCGGCGACGGCTGGTCTGTGCAGTGCAGGGTCGCACATGCAGTGAGCCGCTGGCTGACCCGAGCTAACTGGCCTCTCTCTCTTTCATGCAGAGTGGGGGTGGATTCCGACAAAGACTCGGTAGGGAGGCTTTTCCTCGCGGTTCTGTTTCCTGTGACCTGATTGTCTGCTGGTGCCCCTCGTATCAGCAGGACCCGGTCCATGCCCGAGGGCACCCTTTACATCACGCTGCATTCCTGTGACTCTCTCCGTCTCATTTCAAACAGGTGAATGCTCTGGAATTCACAGAGCGCAGGAGCACCAAACAGGAGAGTGCCTGGCTGTTTAGACACTGGTACAGCTTTGACTCCAAGTATCCTTAATGGTAGCAGTACCCAGAGTGGACAGTAGAGGGGTGCTCCAGAGTAACAAGCAATTTGAATTGACCTGGGTTTGCTTTTCTTAAGCCTACAGAACTAAATGTCCATGTATCCCTATGGCTTTTAAGGCCTTGACTGTAGCCCCCCCCCCCAGCTACTTGAAGCCCCTCCTCACACACAGCGGCCCGCCCCTCACAGCCACGCTGCCCAGCTGGTGTGGTGGTCTGGCACGATGTCTCACCAGTCCCCATGCATACGAGGTGAGCCACTCCACAGTGCCCCCTAGTGGTGATGACCTGGGCTGTGCAGTCACAGGAGCAGTGGCAGCAACTCCAGCATCTGGCCAATGTACTGAATCCTCACCCCCCCCCCCTCCACAGAATGAAGGCCGGTTAAAGGAGGACGACTCGGACTTGGTGCCCCAGGACGGCCTGGTGTACAGCGACGGGGCAGCTGGCTCGGCCACCATGCTGCACCCCTGCCCTGCCTCCGGCCCCATAGAGGCTGCGGACAGCAAGCTGGCCACCCTGGGGACCCAGCTGGTCCTGCCTGTGGAGCACTCAGAGGCCCCCCGCGATCTCCTCCGCCACAGGGAGTGAGCCAACCCCCCTCCCGCCCCACCCTCCGCTGTGTTGCTGCTGGTCCTGCCCAGGCGTTACGTTCCCTACCTCTGTTCTGATCTCATCCCATCCAAAGGACTCACTGTTCTTGGTCTCAGTCTGGTTCTTTTTAAACCACTACCCCCCCCCCATTATTTTCATTTATGTGATTTCCTTACGGGGAACATGTGTTGCAGGCTACAGCGTTATTCCAGTGCACTAGGGAGGGCACTGTAAAGCAGACTCATCATCTGCACGATGCTGACCCGTTAAGGGGAGACCTGAGAGCTCCCATTCTCCCTGTGAAAGTCTTTCTATAGAGTCTTTGCTCCGTATGTGTGGTTTAAATTAAAATACCGTACCATTTATCTCCTATAGGGGGAGCACTAAGCAGTTCCTCCGGTTGCCATTGCACTAGTTCATTTAACTTTTTTTTTTTAATTATGATTATATAGTTAGCTTTGCTGACTACATGTAGCATACAACGTAGTGACCTTTGACTGTGACTGTTAAATCGTCTCTTCTGACTTTCCCTGCATGGCTATGAGTGCTGAAAAGTCTATGTTTACTGTTTGAGAGGTTCTGTTGTTCTAAAAAACGAAGTGGACTTGCATTTGGATAAAACACAGAAAAACGTATTGTATGTTATTTGTATGTTATTTTGTTTTTAGCCAATAGTAATCCGGCTAATCCTTTCCGAAGTGGCTTCCTGCTTTATTCTGATAACGTGCCCATTGTATATGTTTGATTGAAGGGACATGTACAGAGGACACAATGGCAACACTGTGGATGGGACTTTGGCGCCCCAATATCATCACTGAGGAGGATGCTGGGGACAGAAAGGCAGGCTGTGGAAGAGGGGAGGAGCCCAACGGCGGCAGCCCGCTGCAGGAAACGACTCGATATGACTAGTAAAAACAGTTAAGAGCCCGCCAAAGTGCGAACATTCTGGACACAAATGAGACTAAGGGGTACTCTGCCCATCGGAAGATCGGCTGTACGGTGTCACGTGACACAAAACAGAGCGGGGCGTCTGGTGGGCCATTGTCATGGCAATGTTATGCAGAAGGAAGGTGGTGCAGTAGTGAATTGTGATGTGCTCATTGCTGCCTCCATCTTGTCACCTCCGGCATTGCAGGAACTCCGTATACACTTGTCCCTTTTGTTGTATCTCCTTTTTATAAACGCTGACAGCATGACGTGCCTGGTGTCATGTTCCTAGACGTGTCTCTCCATGTGGAAGGTGGATGATCCAGATCAATCCTGTTCCACTTGTGGCTTGTTTTACGACTCCGCCGTGATGTTAAATGCATGCCCTGCCTTTTTAATTTAAGGCATTTTGAAATGAAGATTGTGAAAAAAAAACAAATGATTAAGCTAAGAACAGCCCAAGCTGTCATCACAGTCATGGGTCTTGAAAGCGGCCACTTGACAATCTTGTCACCGCACTGTGGGATCACTGGTTAGATATTCTGGTTTGCCATCGCCTCCAAAAGCTGGGATCGGTTTTTCTCTGCCTTGTTATTGGTCTTTATTTTTTATTTGGGCAGAACTCTATTGAGCCTTATCAAGACTGTTGGATCAATAGATATTTTGCATCTGTAACCAGCAGGTACAGAAATGACATCATTCTTTCACATTGTTGATGATCATGTGGCTGCATTTTCATGTTTTGTTTCTGGAAGTATCATAAGGACAGATTTTGTTCAGTTAGCAAAATATACATGTATGTGATTCTGTAAACCAAGATTCAAGATCTTTTACTGGTCAAGTGCAGCAAGGGCACTGGGATGCCTACTGGTCCAGCCACACCCAATAAATAAAGACTAAATAGACAACAGACAAATAGATGTGCAATACCACAGTGAAGAGGAGTAACACTTAGAAATGGTACAATTCACAGAAAGTGCAGAGTGCAGTAATATTGGGCCAGACTGTTTACACAGGGGAGTCGTTGGATCAGACACTGAGGTATGAGTGTGAATCGTAATATCTGTCTCAGGAGGACTTCAAAAGCACATCACTGGCATAGTTCCCCAAGGGGGGAGGGGGTGTTACTCCTGCCCTGCTGCTAACCTCCTAAATAAAGTCATGGGTATGTGTAGTAATGGCTAAATGAAGCTTCATGAACCATTCGCTGTATTTTTTGACCCCACTAGATGGGGCTCTTGGTTTACTATGGGGCATGCTTTGAGAACTTTTTTGAATAGAGAGCACCATCTAGTGGGGTCAAAAAATACAGCAAGTGGTTCATGAAGCTTCATTTGTCCATCACTGTGTATGTATAGGCTCTTGTCCTCCCTTGCACTGACGTGCTATTTGAGGTGTGAAGATTGACACTTTGATGCCAACGGCATATCAGATGGCTGTAGCTAATGTGAATGGTTTTAAGAAATAAACAAGCCCAAATCTGAAGAAAAAGACGCCTCACTTGCAGCACAAAACATCTGACTAGATTAGTCCATAGGCCAACGTGTAACAGTCATTGTTTTGCTGCTCTGTTTAAATCGTCACTGCTGTTGATCATCTGAGCCAGGAAATCGTAGGGACCATTCTGACGCTGTGTTTGTTTTGAGATGTAACCGCCAGTTTTTTGTGCTGATATTGTTTGCTGTGTGTCTCAGCGTGTCCATGTCCATCTGGCCCTCAGTCCCCTTGTGGGGAAGTTCCCGGAGGCTTGCGGACATTCACCAAACTGTCAATAAAAGAGCCCAGTGCGGATTTGGGTATAAAGAGAGCTGTAACTGCTGTTCTTCACTGTTGTCCTCTCTTTATTCTGGATGAACTTTTGGAGGATGAATAATGCGCAATCCCAAGGGTGACGGAATATCTCCCAGCTCACCTTCACACATGGAAGCCCATCTCACTCTCAGATTGGCCTGTGGAGGCGCTGGTGTGCAGCTGCACCTTGGTGTTCCTTCCTGAGCCAGCAATCTGGCCTGCATTGCCAGCATTGGCCTGAGGAGGCGCTGGCGTGCAGCTGCACTTTGGTGTTCCTTCCTGAGCCAGCAATCTGGCCTGCATTGCCAGCATTGGCCTGAGGAGGCGCTGGTGTGCAGCTGCACCTTGGTGTTCCTTCCTGAGCCAGCAATCTGGCCTGCATTGCCAGCATTGGCCTGAGGAGGTGCTGGTGTGCAGCTCCATCACAGGGTTCTTCCCTGAGCCAGCATGCTGGGCGTTGTCACTCCCTGCGTTGTTGAGTCTGAGACCCCCGACAGCTCATGGCTCATGCTACTGACTCTCATGCTTCCCCTGGTCACCTTTACCGACAGCTGTATGGTTTGTTCATTTTTTATTAAAAGACAATACCTTCTGAATGCCATCATAATTCTACCCCCTGATATCTGACGGCCGAGACAGCTCCGGAATGTTCTAGACCGGCACATGCCTTCTCCTGATGTGTGTCCTGTCATCATGCATGCTTGACATGACATGCATGGGGAGAGGGACGCCGTCAGCCCAAATTCCTCTGACAGCTGATTCCACTGCCATGAGGCACCTGGCCCTCGCACCCATTGTATGGGGAGTGAGTCACTTTGAGTTTTCTGGGCCTCCTCCCCCGGGCTGTAAAAATCACCCATCGGGGCTCGACCCCTGATCACGCTGTACCACACACTTCACAAGCTTCTTTGTCCCGTACTGAGGAAGAAGCCCCTTCTAAATTAATTGTCCCCATTTATTCTGCGGTCAGATTCTTGTCTCTTCTAATCGGTCTAATCCCATCCATTCATCCACCAAACACGATGTTCTTTTTCTCCTTCAAAAGAAAGACACACATATTATTGACTACATCTTTGCACTTATTATAGCCTATAAATCCTGTCTGTTGTATGCACCTCTAGCTCCTGTTATGAAAGAGTCCTGTGGAGCTGTTAGGTTGGCGGTTCACTTTGGCTCAGCCTCTGCTCTGGTCTCACTCCAAAGAAAACAACTGGGGATGACGCTGTTATAAATCTCTGTTAAAAATATTAGTTATGTTCGGCCATTGTTTATTTTACTAACGGCAGAAGGCGCTCCTGGATGAGATCTGTGTTTGGGTAATATTAATGGCTACGTTTAATGATACTCTATGAAGTTATTCATACGCCGTGGTACCGATGTGCGCTCTGTGACGTAGAAACACAGAGTACCTGTGAAAAACCACGGAGGGCCGATCGGCACCAAACGCACACTGGACTTCCTACGTTTCATACCGGAATCTTGGACTCTTATTTTATTGCGGGATTTAAATTGCGGGGAGTGATGACTCACCATGCAAGCCACATATTATTCCAAAGAAGGGCATTTAAATGAACGAAGTTGTCTTCGACAGAATTATACACGACCCAAACAGTTTCAGTCATTTAGACAGCGAGTTTGGCGCACCCCGATTATAATGATGTACAGTAATGTACATTTTCGTGTAAAACATATTTACCTATATATTATTTCACAAACTGGGAGCGCTTTTTTGTAGAAAGGACATTGATGTTATATGAAGAGAATGGAGTTAACCGTTAGTATTTCCCTATATATGTGCCACTACTTCTGTAAACGATTCTTGATATGATTTCCAAAGTTTATAAATTCCTGGATGAGATCATTGTTGAGATGAATGTTAGGACTTTTTGGATTGCATCCTACCGTTTCACCCCCACCCCGAATGCCGAAGGCGTGTCTTTACTTTGCAACGAACTACAAATAGCATAAATTACTCCGGTTGCAGCGCTGAGGGAGAAGTTGCCGACGGGTCGCCCTCCGTTTTAAATTCGGTGAGTAGCCTACTTAATTCTTTAATTGTTATATTTGTCTAAATTCACATTTTGGATATGTGCAATTTCACAATGTAATTAGCAAAAACTCAATTATGAATATGTGGGTCTGGAATTCTTGAAAGTAAAAATGTATTTACAGATATATATAACAGGAGTTCTTACCAGTAAGAAATGAATTATAGAGCTCTACAATATGACTTTTTACTAGTGAAAATTGAATTTAGGTTATGTGAGGAAAGAAAAACAGTGGAAGTCAATGGGAATATATGATTAGTAAAAATTGTATTATAGAGCTGTATAATATGATTCTTACTAGGAAGATTTGCATTGTGGATATCTTGAATTCACATTCTTACTAGTAAGAATTAAGTTGTGACAAGTAAGCCTTAAGCTAATAAAATACTATTCGGATTTCCATACAACAGGACTGCAACTCAATTGTTTAAAAAACATTGGTTAAGTCCAGGTCTGACTCTTTTAGGTGACCTTTAGGTCCAGGTCTGACTCTTTTAGGTGATCTTTAGGTCCAGGTCTGACTCTTTTAGGTGATCTTTAGGTCCAGGTCTGACTCTTTTAGGTGATCTTTAGGTCCAGGTCTGACTCTTTTAGGTGACCTTTAGGTCCAGGTCTGACTCTTTTAGGTGATCTTTAGGTCCAGGTCTGACTCTTTTAGGTGACCTTTAGGTGTAATGCGACTTTCAAGGGCTCGTTAAATGTTTCTTTTGCACTCAACTAGCTCCATAAAATATATTTGTAAAATTTCCCCGTCAGAGTAGCCAAGTAATTATAAGTGAATGAATAAAATCAAAGTCACTTGATCCACCTTTATCGGTCTTCCAGTGTATGTAGGCCTATAGTTATTTAGCCTATGCATAATTACTCAGATTACTTCTCATATGATGTAATACATAAGGAGAGGACACTATTAGGTGAACACCAACAGAAGAAAATTAAAGAGTAAATCAAGAAATACTTATAATGTCTCGTAACACAATTAAGATGTCGTTTAGCTTTCTGACTTGCCTCAAATCCTTTTAAAGGCTGTCAAAAATATTTCGCTGCAGTGATTTCATATTAAACCTACTTCGGAATCTTTTTTTTTTAATTATTAAAAAAAAAAAGCTGTTTTTACAATGCGTACATAAAGTGTATTTTATATTAACAGCGAATGTTAATGACTCCACATTATCAATGCGTCAGATTCTCTTCTACTTGCTCGATAGTTCACCCATCATTTGCATCATGTCTGTCTTGTACATACGGAGGTCACGGTGTAGGTTGAGAATGCGTTTATTTCGCCACGTGCGCTATTTCCCGGTCAAACCGATAGTCGCATAGATGGAAGCTGCTATAATGGCGATGATGGTGCTAGAGGAGCGTCATTCGGCGCGGGAATGCCAATGGACGACGATGTGGGAGGTGCGCGCGCGCCTGTACCCCTGTCACATGTCGATACGACTAATTTACTTATTTATTTTTCTTATAGGAGAAACATACTGATGTTTATTGGAACATATTAGATACTATTTGTGAATATAGATACTATTTGTGACTATAAACCAAAATTGGATGCAACGATTCACAACTCTTCACAAGGGAAAATATCACCATATTTTGTGTAGGAAATTGTGTGAGTTTGTAATTTAGCAAATACTATTCTCAGGCACTAAATGAAGGCTCCTTCTGTTCACATGCTGTCCTGATGCCCCTAGAATCACTGTATTAATAAAACCTGTAAAAATACAAACATGTTAAAGAGTGAGCATTACCAGCACTCAATGTTCATCTGAAGTCACACTTTAATTAACTGAAGTTTTATTATGAACCATATGGTAATCCTAATCCAAAATGCATTTTTAAGACTTGAGTTCAGAACATTAACTTACTAAACTTTCCCACATAATGCTAAAACTACATAATCAGTATTATAACATCTCTCTAAATTATTGTTTATCTTGAATTATATAAGCAAATTTGCTTATATGTGCTCTCTTCATTTGTTTACGTTTCGCTAATAATAAGTTATTTATTGAGGATGTCACTCTTGGAAGCGCTTGTGGAAACGTCTCTTAATCCTGTCCTCCTGCTCTCCAGCTGCGTCCTCACTTAGGAAACCCCTCAAGGTCACACACCCCCTTCCCATCTAATGCACACAGATGACAGCCTTTATCACCCAGTCCTACTCACATTGTGGGGGCAAGGCAAAAGCATGACATAATATCCCCCAAAATAAGTCCAGACATGCAACTAGTGAAGTGGCACCAAGGGGATTTGGTCTCCTTAACGACGCACATTTGGTGTAGTGTCACTGCCACTGCGGGGGGGAGGGGGGGGTTGATGTTTAATTTTCTGTTGTGTGCAGCTGTTTGACAACTTTTGCTGTGCCCCCCCCCACCCCTTAGGCTACTGCTTTTGCTCTTCCCACCCATAACCTGAAATCCAGAAACACACTGGAATATGGGAAAGTCAGAATATGGGAAAGTCTGAAATATTTAGAAAGTAGCATAAACCATACGGCTGGTATTGTGACCCAACCCCATATTCAGCCCCACATCGAGGTCCCATTCCTCCCATCCCTATTCCAATGGTCACAGTGAGGGCCAATAAAAAAAATAACCCAGAGTGAGCTCAGAGGCCTGCATATCCAAATTAGGAGGTATGGAGTAGACGAGAGTTCAACCTTTCCGGTGAGGAGCGTTTCTCTTTAAAGTCTCCTCACCTCTCAAACTCCGTATGTGTTTGGCTGTTGTTTGGTGTCACTGCCAGGCCACGGGCCAGAGATTGTGAGTCAGGCAGGGGGTGCTGGGTGCTATCTTTCTCTGAGTGGGATGTGGGGGGTGGACCACGGTGGAAAAACACAGCTAATCCCTGAGCTGGACCTTTCATTGCCCTTGGAAAACACATGTACAGAGATGCAGGCATGCAGGGAGAGAGGACAGAGATGCAGACTGAAGCTCCAGCCCAGGGTGGATGGTTTCAGTCCCAAGAGCAACTCTGCTGCTACGGCAAAGCTCTCTTCCTGAATATCCACTGAAAAGCTGCAATGCATGTTGGTAACTGAGTCAAACTTTGTGTCACAGAATCCAAATTACAAGCTCAGCATCACTGGTGTCGTTTTGTGTGACCAACTAGCTCCAGTGCACAGGAACAGCCCTTACATGACCAGAGGCTTTTTAGCTGGGCAGGTAAGGGACAGTTATGTTCCTGTAGGACCTAAACTGCACCCCCCCCCCCACCCCCAAACACACACACACACCTGTTGCTAAGTTACTGTAGCGACAGCATGCTGTTGCCCCTTTGATGAGTCACATGTGTGTTTATAGTCCTCTAAGCAAATGAGGAGGGGCTGTCACTGATCTGCATTCTGTCTGGGTGTCCAGGAATGACAACCAATTCATGGCTAAACCTAGAATGACCTTCCAGGAACAGCACACACAGATTCCAGTTACTTTGAGTACATGAAAATGCTGTAAATCTTTTACACATTTGTTGCTAGTTATTGCCCTATACAATGTTTTTAAATCCTATTTTAAGAATGTCTTAAAAATACCCAAATGGACTGTCTTCATTAGTATGAAAACACAATAGACAGCTATCATAAACTAAATGCTGTGGATTCTATACCCAGATCTCCATTAATCTCCGGTTGTTCTTCATGCTACCCCTATACGGCCACTGGGTGGTGCTGTTTAGGCCTGCCGAACATACAACCAATGGGAAGCCCACACTACTACTTTAAAAACCATACTGAAGTCCTTATGAAGCATGCGTTTGGCATTGCATTGCTTATATTTATTTTAACACTGCAGGGGGCTGTTCCACGAAGCAAGATTTCTTGTCGGATTTAAGGTCGACTGGGCTAAATGTATGGAAACAAAAATAAAGTCCGTTTAACCCAGACTACCTTAAATCCAAGAAGTTATCTGGCTAAGCAAGAAATCCTCCTTCATGGAATACCCCACTGGTGTAGATTCCATGTACCAACATAGATTTCCAAAGTTGATCGGCAGCTACCCAGATCTTAAATGGAACAGAAGTTTAGGTGGGGAGAGCATTATGATCATGTAGGGGAGCTTTGACTGGATGCCTGCAAACTGTGTTGCGAACCAATTAGAAGGCAGATCATTGTTTACAGTTGAGTTGAGCAGAGCTGAAAAACAGCCTGCCCTCTGACTCGTACATACAAACGTAAACGCAAGCAGAACTCTGACTCATACATACTATCGTAAACGCAAGCAGTACTCTGACTCTCATGCGCAGACCCATCCGCTCACACCAGTCGCACCTGTTCAGCTCCAAGCCTAATATGTCATGAAGCCATTATCTTACCCAATGGCTGCTAATTATGGAATTCTGGTGTGTTTACACACATGTGCAGGGGGAAAAGGGGGCAGAGTTTGTGGTGGTAACAGATCCAAGTTATTTTTGTCCTGGAGGTGCAGGGGGCATATTCTGTGGCCATTGTTCTGTGGCTAAATGGGGGCCTGCTTTTCTTTCAGCGGTCAGCTGTGTGATGACAGCACATACACAAGACAGCGTAACATAGACAGAAAGGAAGGAAACAGGAGAGTGACAGATGGGTATCCCCACTGGATTTGTTTTTCAGGAGCTGCTATCTTTGTGAAGACATTTTGTGTAAAAAAAAAAAAATAATAATAATAAAAATTAATCAAGTGTATGCACACACCCCCATTCTACAATACAACCTACATGCTGACAGTTCAGCAGTTAGTATGAAACTATTTAGAGACAGACAGACACTTTATTGATCACGAAGGAAATTCAGATGTGTATCTATTTCATTCTGTACCTACCATTCCCGGAGAAGGTGTTCAGTATCTGAATAAAGGCATATGCAGAAGTCAAGCCCAGGAATAGTTATAGTTATGATAAACATGGCAGTAATTCAGAGGAGGCAGGATACAAGAAAGAGCGGAAAAGCCACCCCATGAAATCTGATTTGTGGCAAACCGCTCGCGATATGTACACCAGTCAGGTTAAGTGCAAAGCAGAAACATAACACCCGAATCAGTGAGCCCATCTGTTCTATCCAGGTGCAGCTTTCCGGATCGGAGCCAAATAGATCTTTCCCTTTCTTGGCAGCCGATTCGAACCCCGGAGAGAAAAGAGCCAGTGTGAACAGTGGCAAACAGAAGCTTTAAGAGTGAGATTTTGCGCAGTGAGATTTAGTCCCACAGCAGGTCACGGAGCTGGTCCCGCCACCATAACGCCAGGCTTGTCTCCACAAGGCCACTTCCTCTGAGGACAGATGGTAGCAACTGCTGATAGATAGGAAGCTGAGCATCAGAGATACGACGAAACGCCGCCTCAGAGAAATCAGAATCCAGGGACTCTGTGTCCTCCCTGCAGACAGTTCGTTTCACCCACAAATGCTCCCCTTCAGTTTTAAGTCAGCTCAGTCATCCAGAGCATTTCCACTGTCTTCTCCAGTGTATCAGCTGGGGACGAATATGCAAGACGAATGAGCCGTCCCCTTCTCTTCAAGGTGATAGAGGGCGACAGGGGGCTAGAGGAAGGGGCACCACCCAGCTGACACCTTGTACACAGTCCTGCTCACTACCACTGCCTCTCCTTTCAAGGAGATTTTCTTGTGGTGTGTCAAGACCAACGTCCTGAACGATTAAAGATTCAACTGGGGAACATCCAAAACTGTTTCTGTTGCTAAGAATCTCTGAGGAATTCAGGAAAACACACTGCTCTCCAAATGACTTTGTTGTCCAAACACAAGAAGTCCATCTTGAGTTGAGCCCAAGTATATACAGTTCCGAAGCGATCGCGCCAGTTGTACTGCATTACTTTAATGACAGATATTTCTAACTGAAGCAGTTTTTGGTATATAGCTTAAATATTGATTTACACACAGCACCAGGGGTCTGTGAACTGGGTATTTTCCTGAAAAAAGTCACTTTTAGTAACAAGCTTAGGGATTCACTGTAGAGCATTTCAGTCTCGGGGGCAGGACCTTAACAGTCTGCTCCAAATAGCAGAGTATAAAGAGCCATTGGGGGCAGAACATGTAGGATTTGTGGCTAGTCTCAGTTTTAAACCCCGGAATCCTTCTTTCTCCCTCTGAAGTCATGCTGATGGAATTCACTCTGTCTTCATCCACTTAACTCCCTCCCTCTTTAATTCTTCTCCCACATATCCTAAAATGGTGAGGAGTGTTTATGGTGGGGGCCGGGGGTAGGACATGGTGTTGACAAACGCACACATATATACACCCCCAAAAAGCAGGAGCAAATTCTGGAGACCTCAGTCTTATGAACCGAAGCCTTGATCCCCCCCCCCCTCTTCCAGCTGACTTAGAATGACTTTCTACAGGCACTCAGGTAAAGGAAGAAGCAGGGACATCCTGTCCCGATCGCCACCTCCATGGGGACCCTTAACCGGAGAGCGCATCGATGGGCATGGAGGGACGTGGAAATGGGTAGATTCCATACAGGGATGGTCTTGGACTGGAACTAGTGAAGCTGGGGAAACCAGAAACAGGTGCCGGACGGTGTGAGTGGAGAAGGCGGGAAAGCGGCAGCGGTGTAGGTGGAGAGTCCTGGAAGACCTCTAGCTGTGTGATGAAGAGAGTGAAGCTAGTCATGATGTTTTCTCTGTAAGAATAATTCTGTTAATGGGGCAGCAGTGGATGGTGAAGTTGCGATTGGTAACGAAGTAGCTACTGATGATGATTTCTGTACGAGAATGAAGTTTGAAAGAGGGTTTCAGTGTAAAGAGGAAGTTGAACACTATGGAAGAATGAAGATCTGATGATTGATAGCAGAAATTTTTAAGCTTAATAAAGATTAGGCATCGACTCTTGAATAAGCCACGAAATAGAGCAGAATACCCCACATGCTTCATGGTCATGGTGAAGGGAAGATGTGGGATACGGGCTCTAAGTGGCCTCATGTGCTAGAGCAGTGTTTCCCAAACAAGTCCTTGGGGACCCTCGGACAGTCCACATTTTTGCTCCCTCTCAGCTCCCGGTAGGGAGCAAAAACATGCACTGTCTGTGGGTGCCCGGAGACCGGATTGGGAAACACTGTCCTAAACAATGCTGTCTGTCTGTGCAACTTTTTGAACTGTGTTAATTTTATACCAGTCACTTTGCTCTGCCAAATGGCAGTCCTACATGGCCTATCAAGCCCCAGGCAAAAAGTTTGACGGACCGAGGACAAGTCGAGATGTGCCTGGAAGCCTAGTGAATGAGAGGCAGCGGGAACGTTGTCTGTGAGGCCTGCACACTGCAGAAGCTCTCCGTGCCACACGATGACAGGCGGGAAGTCAGCCAATCACAGCTAGAGCTATATGAGAAAGGCCAGGGTGCAAATGGTGCAACCCTGAAGGCAGCGGAGGGTCTGAGTCAGACAGCAGCACATTTATGGTGTCCGGTGTCTGCGGCTGGTGGGATCTGGCTGGAATCTGACCAGGGAGTTTGAGTGGGTGGGGAATGGCACAGTCCTGGGTGCCTGAGCGGGCACCAGGGTGAGTCAGTGGCTAAATACTGGACTCGCGCTTAATCTGCGAGTCTCAGCTGTAGAGATGGCATTTCTGCCCGGTCATGGCGAGGAGCCCCCCCTGCCCTCGCCCTCCAGGATCAGACACTGTAATACCTCATCTAATCTGCTATAATAATCTCTGGGGGTAGCGCCTCTTGCACTTCACACTGCAGTTAAACGGTGGCGACATTTGTGCAGAGAAGGGTGAGAGCCGCACCTACGGGGCACCATCCCGCACCTTCTAAATGTACCAGCCGACGGTCAGTTGGCACAACTGTATGTTCGACCAAAGTTCTGCTGATAATTTGAGGGCAGGTGGTGGTATGGGGAGGGGAGGGGGGGGGGGGTTCTCCCAGACTGCTGTTAAATCACATCTCTAAGCTGCATTGAAACTCCAGCCCAGTCCCAATAAGCTGGAGAACATGGCCAGCAGAAAGCACATGCATGGAAGGTAGGTGGGGGGGGAGGGGGGTGCACAGCGTTCCAGATAGAGCCAACAGAAGGCAGTTTGGTCAGACGGCCAAGCGCTTCACGAAACCTGCTGTATCCACATCTGTAGGGAAACTGTATGGCAGCTCAGCTCAGCCGTCATCAGCAGTGCTGGTCTGGTGATTAGATATAGAAGATTCAATTTGGGCTGGTATAATTGTATTCCATTATATTACATACTGCTGAATTTTACCCAAAATGCTCCAAATTATGGCGCCAAAGATTCAAAATATAAACGTCTCATTACCTAGCTGGACGCTTGGAAGGCTCAGCTTTCCACTGCAGCCTTTCTGTCGCTAATGGGCGGGTCTCTGTGTCCATCCTGGCCAGGCCCTCGGAGCTACCTGAGCAGGACCATGACGGAACGCTTTGACTGCTACTACTGCCGCGACAACCTGCAGGGCAAGAAGTACGTGCAGAAGGAGGACAAGCACATCTGCGTGCGCTGCTTTGACAAGCTGTGCGCCAACACCTGTGCCGAGTGCCGGCGCCCCATCGGGCCTGACTCAAAGGTGCGCCGCCTCTCCCTACCCATCATGCCCTGCTGTGACCAAGACCTGACTTACACTAGATGATGCCATTTGGGAAGCAGACCTTGATTTTGGGTCACAACAGTAGTGATTTTTGTGTTTCGAGTGTCCAAGGTTTATAATGTGTGTCTCTCTCTTACTCCAATGTCCCCCCCCCCTTCCACCACTCCTGCTATAGGAGCTGAACCATAAGAACCGCCACTGGCATGAGGACTGCTTTAAGTGCGCCAGGTGCTACAAGCCCCTAGCCAATGAGCCCTTCGGCAGCAAGGATGACAAAATCTTGTGTGGGAAATGCTGCTCACGTGAGGAGGGCAACCGTTGCCAGGGCTGCTACAAGCTGGTCATGCCAGGTGGGGTATACCTAGGCAGTTTAACAACACACACACACACACATGTAGGGTAAACATATCCTTATGGGGACCGCTCATTCATTTCAATGGGAAAAATGCTAACGCTAACTATGACAACCTTAACCCCTACCCAGCCCTAACCATAAGTAACCAAACAAAATACAAGAGTTTTTGTATTTTTATAATAGAGTTTTCCCTTATGGGGACCGGTTTAAACTGATATTTATCACGTTATGGGGACATTGCGTCCCCATAAGGATAGGTAAACCCGCTCTCTCTCTCACTCACACACACACACCACGGAAACGCAGGAGAGGTTAGCTGGGCTGAATCTCTTCAATATTCAAGATCAGTTTAAATACTAAAACTGATGGCCATAGGTGGAAATTAGTGGGAGAACATTTTAAAACGTATTTGAGAAAGCACTTCTTTACACAGCGTGTAGTTAGAGTATGGAACAGTCTTCCTGTTAGTGTAGCGGAAGCTAAAACCCTGGGTTCCTTAAAATCAGAGCTAGATAAGATTTTAACAACTGAGCCATTGATTTCTTCCCAACGAGCTTGATGGGCCTTATGGCCTCCTCTCATCTCCTATCTTTGTGGGGACTTTCCATTAATTTCTATGGGCATAACCCTTAATCCCTAACTCAGCCCTAACCTTAATTGGAAGGAACCAAAAAGAACTTCATAAAACTGAGGGTGCCCTTGTGGGGACCGAAAAAGTGGCCCCACAAGGTGAAAAGTTACAGGTTTTTTGTCACATTGTAAGGAAGTCTGATCTCCACAATGTAATAATTACAGAAACGCTCATAACTGGGCTTAGAAATGTGGAGGACACATGCACGGCCCCACAGCCAGACCCACCGTTTCCTGAACAAGACATCCATCTCCCCTATAGGCACCAAGACAGTGGAGTATAAGAAGAAGATCTGGCATGAGGAATGCTTCACCTGTGCCCAGTGCAAGCAGCCTATCGGCTCGCAGAGTTTCATGGCCAAGGGTGACGACTTGTACTGCACCGCCTGCTCAGACAAGAACTTTTCAAAGAACTGCGCCCACTGCAAGCAGGTGCTCCGTCCCACACTCTCCCTACAAGCTGGGTGGAGGTTCCTAAGCCACTGGGTGACACTGGGTGGCCGAAAGACCTGACTTCTGCCCAGAAAGCCCAGGGGACCAAGTGGAGTTTATTAACGTGATTATAGACATTTTACCTGATGAAGAACTGATGGTCAATCAATGCATATGACCTGTGTTAGATTAGTGCACCAGCACTTGATTTTGTATCATCCGCTGCATGTTGGTTTAGATGGAAGAGGGCATCGATTAATGGTACATATGGTCTTCAGGCATGGCTGTGGTCTGACCTGCTCCCTGCTTCACAGCCCATCACCTCGGGGGGGATCAGCTACCAAGACCAGCCCTGGCACTCCGAGTGCTTCGTGTGTCTGACCTGCAGCAAGTCCCTGGCAGGAGCTCGCTTCACCGCTGTGGAGGACAAGATGTACTGCGTGGACTGCTACAAGACCAGCGTGGCCAAGAAATGCAGCGCCTGCGAGAACCCCATCACAGGTCTGCGGGGATATGGTGCATGACCATCACACACACACCCTTACATTTAGAGGTGTGTGTGGTCTTCCTTGCAGTTTAATTTCATTTGTACTACAGCTAAACACCAGTGGTTACACCCAAAACGATGACTTCATCCCCAAGACATTTTCTCATAAAGCACCTCCCACCCACACAGACCGATGGGCTATTAATTGAGGTCCTTCTTTGCACTATCATGACTGCTGCCATTTCCCCCCGCAGGGTTTGGAAAGGGCACTCAGGTGGTGAACTATGAGGGCAACTCCTGGCACGAGTACTGCTTCAACTGCAAGAGGTGCTCCCTGTCGCTGGCCAACAAGCGCTTCGTGATGCATGAGACAGCCATCTACTGCCCCGACTGTGCCAAAAAGCTGTGAGGAGCACCCCCCTGAGGCACAGGGTGGAATGACAACACAACCAATTACACACATCAATAAATATACCTAGCTTTTCACAAAGTGTCATATTACTCTGCAATGGACAAATGGAGTTTGTTTTTAAAAAATATATATAAACATGTGATTTGTGTTAATTCAGTTGCTTTAAAATATCCCCACCCTGTGGACCTCCTGTCCAGCTGCAAAGCCAGCCTGTGAGTGGGAGTTTAGTCTAAGAAAGCATGGATTGCAAGTTCAAATCACCATTTATCTTTTGAGCACACTTATAGCTGAATGGTTTGTATTTGTGGGCACTTGATATTCCAATACTAAATTTAGGAGGAGACACAGTCTGGTTAAGTATCACAGACAAACTTCTTGCCGAGAGGCTCAACGAACACGAGTTTGAGGCATTATGCTGAAGGTTGAAGTTTGATATTTTGCTGTTAAGTTTTAAAGATTCAGATAAAGACTTCATGTTCACAGCTTTATGAATTGTAAGGCATAGCAGAAACAATGTACGACAACCTTAAGGAATAAACCAAAATTCAAGCACATTTTCTTTGATTTGCTGGTTATTTGTAAAGAAATCCGTTTCCCCCAATCATCTGTTAAATAATTTTATTGTTCCACAACTTTATAACAATTATTACTTTTATATATTTCTAAAAGATATTTACAGATATTGGTTATGGGTCGGGCGTTTGAACGAATATGACACTGACATCTTACTCATTCCCCTGTTGAGGCGGCGATTGTCATAGCAGACGTATAAGGGATTTGGTTAATAGGACTGTGGAAGAGAGAACCGTTACAGTCCTAGAGTACTGCTCAAAACTACCACCATCACAACCACCATATGACCATGAAGAACGTGCTCCTCACCGAAGGCCACTGAAGCATGGGTAGCATGTCCTGCACCCTGAAGCAAGAACCATGCAGAAAGAGCGTCTACCTGGGCCATCTCAGCACAGTGCGATTTTGAGGGCCAAGTCTTAAGAAGGGTTAGGGTTAGGCGCCAGAAAGAGACAAACTAATGGAAAGAAGGGGAATGAAACTAACAAGGCATTCTTCAGTGTTCCTCACAGAAACTCAATCTTACACCCCAACATAGCAAAAAAACAACAGCACTACTCACCGTCAACAGGCTAGAACAACTGAACATCTGTGCTTGCTTCAGATCTCACTGAACCCCTGACTTCCATTACCTGTAAAACCCCCTGCCCCCCCCCCTTTTTTTAAAAAGGTCTCAAAATGCGATTTGCAATTTCCAAGTCCTCAGGACTTACTTTCTTATCCATGTGATCAACACAGACCAGGTAAAATGCAGTGGGAGGAAGCATCTGCAGTGATCCAAATGTAACAGTACTGAACGCCCAAGGACCGACGACCGACGTAACTCTCAGGAGGTGGTTTTCTGAAGACCAGAATGCCTGGAAATCGACCTTCTCCCGAGAACCAATAGCAGGAGGACCGTCGCACTTCCCGCTCAAAGTCATGGCCACCCCCCTCCCTCCTTTCCCCGTTTTGCCGAGGGCTCAATGATGCCCAATACTGATTTTGTGGGTCATACAGTAACAAGACGGGAACATCCTTTCACACATACCTAATGCACAATGCAGCAACATATAAACCTAAGCACTAATGTCGGAAATCAAGTTTGTTTTTTTTTGTTTGATTTAAAAGCACATTTCTGCAGACAGAAGATCCCAGAGTAAATAAGAAGCTGACCCAAAACATGCACAATAAAGGTGTCCAGCAGGTGGCAGTATAAGAATTAGTGAAGGAAACACATGCGACATTTGCTGCCTAAAATGTCCCCCAGACGGCCACTGCCACCAGATAAACATGGAGCTCACCTCGTGTCTGTTACATGTCAATGGGTGCTGGCATTAATCCGGTTTTGGGAAATACCAGGTCACGTGCGTTTTAAGTGTTTTTTTTAAATAACGTTAAACATTTATACAAGAAAAATACAAGCAGCAAAGGAAAGTTTTACAGAAAAAAAGTATGAACTAAAGTTAATAAAGTCCATTTTTACATTCTGAAATACATATCTTTAATAAAAACAGCCACAGTAAAGTTATCATAGAAATTATTTCCGGAGGCAAACGACCCTTGCGGACAAAAAAAAAAGCTGAAATGTTTTGACCGAGTGACTTGCCATCTCTACCCTGGTCAAGAAATGGGTTTCTGATCACTTGAAGAACCTGGGGAGAAAAAAAAATCTGCTGGCTCAGTGGAGCCTAACCCTGTAAGGTATCCACACAAGCACTCACACAGAGTAACTACCTTCAAGAAACATTACAAATGGATGAGGCAGAGTTGAGCTTACCTAACACCGAACCCTTGAGATTTATGAGCAGAGATTACAGAGGAGGTCAGAAAGTCACAGTGGCACTTTGCAAACCTGTGTGGACAATAGGATGCTGGGGTTGCCTAGTGCCCCACTTTCACCGACCCCAATATCACCCCCCCCCCCTTTACAGTAACCTTGGTAACCATGTCTCTCTCCAGCGCTTTATCACTTTGGTCATAGAAGCCCCAGTCACAGTCAGCCAGTCGCAGCAATGCTGGAAGAAAGTCTTAGTCGAGGCATGGAGGTCAGCAGCGTTGCAGAACCCGACAGCCAATGAGACGAGAGGAACAAAACTGAAGGTTGCAATGGGGAGAGAAAATCTGGACCCAAGATTTATAACCGCAAAAAAAAAAAAAATCAGAATAAAAATAAATACAAAACCAAGTTTGCATTTGCAAGTGACAGACCTAGATGAAGGACGCATACTGACAAAACAACCTTTTCCCTGAAGCAATTTTGTTCCTCTTCTACATTTGCCCCCCCCCCCACACTGGTGAGGAATTAGGATGCCAGCCTGCTGAATCCAGGCCTCTTCCACGCTTGCCCTTTTCCATCTGGGGCGGTGGGGGTGCCAGCAGATCTGGGAGGGCCAGAGGATCGAAGGCTGGGGCGACAGCATCATATCTCTGTCGAAAGGGGGGATAATCAGTCAGCTGACTTCATCTGTAACCCTGACGACATCTTAGCGTTGCAGTGGCGGGGCTCACCAGAGAGGGCTCCAATGGCCTGGCCCTGATGCAGGGGTTTGTCCTCAAAGGCGGCCCGGGGGGCTTGGGGCCCCCCTTCGGGGTCCACGAGGTTCTGGCTCTGGCCATCGTTCATGCCCAGGTCGATAAACTCCTCAAAGGTCCAAGTGGCGGCCTTGCCGTTCAGGAAGTTGGGGCCCTCGGTTGGACGAGTCTTGGGTGCCAGACTGTGGGGGGGGGGGGTCTGCCTTCAGTTTGGCCATATACACACACTCACATACGACTCCCTGCGGGCCTGAACCGAGCGAGAGGTCGGAGCACCCTCATACCCAAGCACCTCCTGCTGCTCCTGGTTCTCCTTGTTCTCCAGCTCCAGCACCCCGTTGACACTTCCAGGAGAACCCACCTCCTGAGGGATGTCCCGCTCTGTCGACGGTGTCTCTGTAATAACACACCACCATACGGCTCAGAGAGTTGCCTGTCTGCTGTTTTCCATGATAATTTTTGCCCAGCAGGTAATAAGATGCATAAACTCTAAACTGAAGTCCTTACAGCTTTTGTTGGAATAGTTGTTTTCAGTAACTTTTGTACAAGCAAACAGCGTAAAACATTTTACTTTGATTTGTGGAATCTAGTGTCATGATTCTGAAATGAAGTCTTTCAGGTTTATGGTCTATGACCAACAATATGTATGCTTACGCACTAAAATTGTGCATTAGGAATCCAGTTTGTCTCACTTCGGTATATGCAGGGAAAGAGCAATTCTAATTTAGACAACAGTTCTCAACCCGACTGGCATTTGTGCATTTCCCAGTACTGAGTTTGTTTACCATGTCTGCCACCCCCAGCAGTATTTAGACATTACTACATCACGAGGTAAGCTGCAGCAGGTCCAAGCCATCGAGTGCTTTTAGAGGCTAATCCTGTCATTGTATTTAGATGACATCATCACCTTACAGTCAATGCCCACATAGTAACAGAGGGACGGACACTCACGGCTCTGTTCACAGACATGCTCGCACTCCTCCTCCCCGTTCTCATTCTGCAGGACCTTCTCCTCCTCCTCCTCCTCCCTCTAAAGACACAGATGCACAATGAACAGAACACCCCGACAGTACAGTGCACTCCTGACACACCACGTAAAAAATCTTACTAGAAGGCAACTGATCCAGAGGTTATTACATCACTGAGGACCACAAAACAAGAGGCTTTCCATCAGCACCACCGGTACCAGCCTGCAAGGTCTTCTGGGTAATAAATCTGGGTATTGAATGAAAGGAACACCCACCTTATCATTTTGGTCAGCTTTCCTGGTCCGCTTCATGATTTCTTCGATCCGCTGAGTAGACAGCAAGCGGCACAGAGCTCATGATGCTGCACTGGCGCCATCTTGGGGCGGCACGTTAAACACAAAAGGCACAGAGGAGCTGCCCTGGCAGGGTGGAGCTGCGACTCACCTTCTTCCTCTCCATGCGCTCCTGTTGACTCTGCTGCATCACTCTCTCCCTCTCCTGCCGCTGCTTCTCCGCCTCCTCCAGGGCCCGGGCCTCCGCCTCTTCGCGCTGCATGGACCACAAGTCGAGTCAGATCGCCAGCGGCCGATACGAATGCCGTCGATAGTCTCCACGCCTTTAAACGAGGCCTAATGGCTGGAATTCACACGGTCATCCCTGCTCTAGGTCTGCAGCTACCACCATGGATCACAAACCTGCCTTGATGTTGAACTTGGTCCAGACCCAAGATCTAGCCCTAAGGAAGCTAGACCTACAAACTAGCTCCAGTCTGACTCTAAGAAAGCGGGATTAAACACTTCCCCTATCGCCACAATAGGTTTAATACTCTCCATTAAGTGTCAGTTTCCAAATGCTAGCATTAGTTATCAGTCCTTCTTGTCTCTCTTGTTCCTATTAGAGCAGAGAGTAAACACATCATTCTCATGTCATTCAAAGCCCAGGCTCAGCAGAAAACTGCTCCCTGCCTGCCTCCCTCATCCTCCCCCCACTGACCTCCTTCTGCATCTCTAACTGCTTCTCACGATCCTCCTCCTCCAGCCTTTCCTTCTCTTGCTGCTCCATCAGGAGGCGCTCTTCTTCCGTTCTCTTCCACTCCTTCTCCTGCTCCTCCTGCCTCTTCCTCTCTTCCTCTCTCTTCTGCTCCTCCTCCAGTCGCCTCACCCGCTCCTCCTCGACCCTCCGCGCCTCCTGCTCTTCCTGCAACCTCCTGCAGCAGGATCCACAGAATAGCCTTTAGATCACTCAGCCGGCATGACCAGGAATCTGTAGAATCTTTGACTGGGGAGCTGCAAAGCAGTCAAAGTCAAACTAAAAACACATCAACTGAAGCTTCCCCAGGGAAAGAACCCAGCACTGCTGTGAAAGGATAGCAGTTAAGAGCTTTGGGGCTAACAGGCACCCAGCAGCATAAGGCCCAGAGCTTCATACTGGAAGAGCCCCACCTGGGACAGGTGAGAGGACATTCCCATGCTTGACCTGGAGAGGGCGCATGGAGCAGGAGTTACTGCGAGGCTGGCAGACAATCGCATGCAATGCAAGATAGCTACCCAAGAAGCAGCTCATGACCATCCTCCTACCCCTCACCTCTCCTCCTGCTCTCTTTGCAGCCGTAGCTGCTCCTCCTTCTCCTTCTGCTCCCGGGCCAGACGCCGGTTCTCAGACAGGATCTTCGCCGCCTCCTCTGCTGACGTGGTGCCTCCCACTGCCTTGGAGTTGGGGTCTGCAAGACGAGCAGAAGCAGCCCACTGAGATGGTGAGCTATGGATACCGCATGCTGGACGGACACGGACCCACACAGGACGTCATCTCTGTACCACAGCATATGCAGGACGTCCCTCTATAAAATGCAAGATATATTAATATAAGGCCTTTTGGGTTCAGCACCCACAGTGAATGCGCTCCTAGCAGTTCCAGCACCTGAGCAGTTAGGGGGCAACTGCATCACTATCAGGGTGCAAGGGTTTAGAAACCAGGCTCAGAGGTGTGTGCTTAATGCCAACGTATCTGACTAGGGAGGAACAAGATGGCGAGGCTTTCGAGCGTGACCACAGTGAGCACAAGCCCAACGTAATCTTCAGAGACCTCCTATCTTCTATTCCAGACCACTGATTATTAGTGTGGATTATTAGTGACCTAGCCTGATCGTATCTGCCAGCACGCTGCTCCATGTGAAAGACCCGATCTCGCACGGAATCTGAGCTGCTTCACACGTTTCATAATCACTTCCTATTGCTCACTTTTCTTATGTTGCTATGCAAAAATGGAGGGGAACAGGAAAGGAGAGCAGTGTGTTATGATATTCCGCGGTGATGCAGGTAGTCCACCAATGACGAACCCCAAGTCAACCGACCCAAGTCAGAGAAGCTGATCCAGTGATCAGTAGCCAGTAAAAATCACTCACACACACACACACACACACACACACACACACACACACTACAGCATTCACCATCTTTGGTCTTGGCGCTGGGGGTCCCGCCGGTGGCTGGGGGCTCGGGCGACTTGACGGCGATGGGCTGCTTTGGGGGGGTCTCCTTTGGCTTCGAGTCCCTCTTGCGAAGGGTGGGAGGCCCAACGGGCGTGAGGGGGGGCCGTTGGATGGGGGCTGGTTTGGAGGTGAGCTGCGGGGAAGGTAGGCCCTGTGCGGCTCTGAGGGGGGAGGGGGGGCTGGGGTTCTGCCTGTGGAACCAGGTGAGGCGGCATAAGCACCAATTTCCATTCATTAACTTCAATGACATTGAAGCATTAAAGCTACATTTGAATTTCATATCCATCAAAAATATATTTCTAGCACAAAGGGACAGGGGTGTGACGGTACCTGGACACGACTGGGGAGGGGCTTCTCCTGGCAGCAGCGGACGCCATGGCCACGGGGGAAGGAGAACGCCGCCTGCTTAGGCTGCGAGAGGGCGATGGCGAGGGGGGCCGACCCCCTCCGGAAGGCGGGGTCTGCTTTTGGACTTTCTGGGGGGGGCACAATGCAAAGCCATCAAAGCCATAAAGATCAAACAAAAAACACCTCACAGGACAGTGGCTTAAGACGGTGGCATGATGCAGGTAAAGGCAGCCAGCACAAGCCTGAGCTGGAGCACGGGGCCCCGACACCGAGAGCCAGGCCTCCATAAAGGCCCCCGCGTCCCCACAATGGTAGCTGGAGCCCCGCTCACCTCATGCTCCCTAAACGAATTACTGGAAGGAAAAGGGCAACGTGACATAGCTGGTGAATACTGGAGCTAAGCAGTTTAATTTCCTGTTATTCTGTATCATAATCTGCAGCAGAATCAGAGAGCGGCCCGGGTCCGCAGGTAAACGGGGCCTCAGACTGGGCTGGGTTTGGTTATGGCTGCCCTGGGCACAGGACATCACACGCTGACACGAGCGGGGGCGGGGGGGGTGCAGCGATACCTGCAGCGTCCAGTGTGCTTCTCTCCACTGAAGGGAAGTATGTGGGAGGGGGGCAGGAATTCGGAGAACAAGGGATATGGGAACTGGCTGGTTTGACAGGCAAATTCAGGAGGATGCGTGTGCACCTGTGTTTCCCTGCCGTGTGAGTGCAGACTGATAAGGCCGGGCCAGTGAGGTGACGCGGGCCCGGCCAGTGAGGTGACGCGGGCCCGGCCAGTGAGGTGACGCGGGCCCGGCCAGTGAGGTGACGCGGGCCCGGCCAGTGAGGTGACGCGGGCCGGGCCAGTGAGGTGACGCGGGCCGGCAGAGTGACCCTCAAACAAGCAGCAAAAGCCGAACTCTGAACCCTGCAGGCACAGCAGCACATCCCTGTCAAGCCCCCCCCCCCCCAAACCTCTCTGCACCACGTTATCTGCGACATCAATGTCCTGTGCAGATATGACACCTTTTGCCCTCAAGATGACTTCACCTATGCGCTTGAATCTGAGGTTGCATATAGAACAACCCTCTTGACAAGCTTGTTAGTTGAATACAAGGGGGGTGACGGGGAATTACCTTTGTGCTGTCAGGCGTCGTGTCCAAGGGTGTGGATGTGGGGGGACCCTTCTGGCGGTCGACACTGCGGCTCCGGATTGGGCCTCGGGGCATGGGGCTGACCGAGGCTGAACGAGCACATAAGGGAGGCTCTGGTAAAAGGTTACATCATTGGTACATGGCCAATGGGAAAGGGAGAGGCAGGAGAATGGGTGGGCCAAAGGAGAGGGATGGTGTGAATAGAAGAGAGAAATGAGAATGGAAGAGGACAAAAAGATTTGAGCATGTTAGATTAGGTTTTGATTTCCCAGGGGGCTTTGGGGCTGTAGGACAGGGGGGAACACAGAGCGCTCCAAGCTCACACTGTAAACAAGCTCTATAGCAAGCGCTTCACAATGGGAAACAAACCTCATATTTATCACTTTTTACAGGCTAACTGGGGTGATGGGAAGGGGCTGTACTGACTGCAGGCCTGAAACTTAGGCCCAGAAGCTTCTTCAGGGTGTCGCCACCTTAGCCTTCATCTGCCGTCTCTCTCCAATGACCTGCGGTGCCAGTTACACTTCAGGACAACTAGAGGCCAGTTAGCGTCTCTCTGCCAACTAGCAAGTTAGTGCGGGAGACGCTAAGAGCGGAAGCTTACAGAGGTTGGGGCCGCATGATGAAACGGAGGGGAACTGGAAGGGTTCACCCTCTATTCCCAAAGCTTCAGGAACGTGCCGCCATAACCCACTATAAGGGGGGGGGGGGCGTTTGGACCAAGGATGTAGCCATGTGACATGGGGGGGGGGGGGTGGCATATTTGAAATGGAACACTGGGCCTTCCTTGGGCAGCAAATGGACTTGGGGGATTATGGGGACTGAAGTGACAAAGCGTCACCTGACTCAGGGTCTCACTATTGGCAAATCCATCACGCTGAGGGGGGGGGGCAATTACCTTGGGGGTCTGTGCCATCTGCCAGGAGGACTGCGGCACTCTTGCTCCTAGCGAGGGAGGCCTGGGTGGGGGTGAGCAGGCGGCTGAGGACCCCACTGTCCAGCGGGCGGCGCTCTAAAACAGGCCGTGCACACAAGCGCATAGCAAGCAGGTTGGGCACACGCCCACACACACACGCCCACACACACGCGCACACACGCGCGCACACACGCGCGCACACACGCGCGCACGCACACACACACACACACGATGGAGGACGGAGAAAAGGGGGGGGACAGGGGTGAAGGTGACATCGTGAATTAAAAGGAAAATCAAAAAAACCCCCAAAAGAATCAGTCAAGCAAATCCATGGAGAATTAAATCCACTGAAAAAGTTAGGGAGGAAGTCCTCAGTACAGGTGGTGGTGGGGGGGGCGGGTTAGTGTGACAGGGCTGATGCAGGACAGCTCAACGGGACGTACATGAGAACAGACTGACATCGACCGATCTGCTTGGGGGGGGAAGTCAACAGCTGAAATAAGGTTAATGAATCAAGAGGCTTCACAGCTCCTCTGGAGTTACAGGTGTGTCCACATGTTCACTGTCATCTCAGGCCACAGAAGGCTGTGACAGAGGCTCGCTCAATCATTCG